TCTGATGGGAAGGCTTATGTAATTACTGGAATGTGGAATCCTAATGCACCAATGTTTCTAGTACTTAATGAGGAAACTCCTAAAGGTAATTTAATCTAATTTGTAAATTTGTTTTACCCAACATGGGTTTGGTGTATGTGTTTTCGCCTGGGAATCATGGTGCATATGTCATTATGTACGTATGCCATTATGTTCCAAAAGTCTGTGGCTAGGAACTTTTTCTGTATAGACACATGCAACATAGAAATGTGAATAAGTGTTCAGAGAGCTGTGTGTTGCTATTTGGAGACATTAAATTAGTGTTGTTTGGGGCTTATGTGCCTGTTCCCTGGTTATCAGGACTTTTTGGTCCTAAGTATGCAGAAGTTGTTTTCCACCTTCTGTACTCAGCAAAGCAGTATAAATTGTAGGCATTGCTATTCTCTTTCTTTTAGTTTTGAGGTGATTTGATTACAAATAGCATTATATCCCCTTCATCTTGGAGCGGCTGGAAGTGATGCACTGAAGTGCTTGATTACATAGCACAGTTTCTTATCACTGGAATTGATGTTCTCTTATGTGATGTAAAAGGTTTGAATGCAAATCTGGAGTTTGTTTCCTATCCCACAGCAGAGCTCACATCAGTTGCTTAAAGGCATATCCAGGTACAGACAGCCAGTGTCACTGTTACTGCTGCTGGATTTTTCAAACCACAACATTTCTAGTAGCATATAGGCAAAGCTCTTCCTGCTTGACACAGTTTCCATTTTATGATATAACTTCGTGTGTGTGGTGTGGTTTGGTTTTGTGGTGGGTTTTTTTGGTGGTTTTTTTTTGTTTTTTTAAAGACAAGGGAACCTGTAAGGTCTGATTCTAAATATTTGTTTTAAAAATCTGTGCTGCCTGCAAGAAAGATACCTGTTGTGATACAATATGATGGTTACTACCTCTCTCTGTGATGAGTGTTTCCAGAAACAGCAAACCTGTTCTTGCATTGTAAACCAGCAAAAGACATGCTTGGACTATTTCAGTCTCATCCTCTGGTCGGTTAATCCTGCATTCTTGTGTACTTGAAGATGTTGGAGCTATGCTTCAGTATCGGGAAGATAAAGCTATTACAGATTAAGATTACTGATCCATGCTTTCCTATAAAAATATGCTTTGCTGCTCTGAGGACTGTCTGACCCAGAGTGGGACAGAGAAGGGTAAACATTTTGAGTCCCTGTAACTGACAGATTATGAGCATGGACATAGAAATTATCTGAAGTGTTTCTTAGTGTGATGAGAGGATTTGGGACAAACAATGCTGTAGGACACCCTTGACACTGACTTGCTACGCGTATATATATTGCCTCAACAGTAAGTTTCACTTTAAAATGTGATCTTATCCTGTGCATGTTCCTTTTGTCTGGTATCTTAATGCTGTTTTCCTTGTATGACATTTTGTATCTACAGTATGTCAGACAGTATGTTTAATGCATACTCTCATTCTATGCAGGAGGCATGGAGGGTGTAGAACTCAAATAAAATGGGTGCAGTAGAATCAATAATTATATAGAAAGGGTTTTCAGTTTGAAAAACAGTTTACTTCTGTCATTTATTGTTTTGAGAAATTTGAACTTTGATTTTTCCTTATGTGACTTATTTTTGTGTTTTAGATAAGCGTGTTTTCATGACTGTGGCAGTGGATATGGTTGTTACTGAAGTAGTAGAGCCAGTCCGGTTCTTGCTGGAGACTGTTGTGCGTGTGTATCCTGCCAATGAACGCTTCTGGTACTACAGCAGAAAAACCTTCACAGAAACTTTTTATATGAAGCTAAAACAGGTATTACTTCTTTTCTAAAGAAAAGTTGATGCTGGGAGCATTTGTTTTGTCTTTCTTACTTGGCCTTTATAAAAGTTAGCATGGCACCTGCACCTCGGTAGTTTGTTTCTTTTAACTAGTTACTGTTGAGATGCTTAAATGCATAATGGTTAAGTAGCATATATAAATGTTTAATACCTTTATAAACTGAATTATAATGAGTCATAAGTCATTGGCTTTGTGGGCTCAAACAATTTTGAACCTAACTGTTGAATTCTCTATCATTTCATATGATCAGACCTGTGTGCAAACATCTAAAGCAAGTCCATTTGACTGGTAAAACTGTGAAATGACTCTTTAATTGTTCATTGTAAAATCAACTAATATTTATCAAAGGGAAATCCTGGCTACTAAGGTTGAAAATGTGAAGGTAGGTGGCTGTAAGAATATAAGCAATTAAAGGCAAAGGAAACTAATGCAGCAGTTGAAAAGAGGCTATTGCTGTTGTTTTTTCAAAGCATCTGAGAAGGTAGATTTCTTCATGTTTTCAAAAAGAGAGAAGTTTGGAAGAAGATTATCTGGAAAAGTTCTGCTGCATGGAGAATTTGCCATGATTTCACCCTTGTGGTTGTTGATGAGGGTAAAAAATGAACTATGTTCTTGTCCTTCAACGCCCCAGGGCTTTTTGAAATGTGAGGCTAAGGGCGTTATTTTTGCAATGATTTATGAAATTAGCATTGTTCATGTGATTTCTTGCTGATGATTGTAACCTTGTGAAATGTTCAAACAGCAGTAAAGAAATCACCATTTTTAGCAAACTCTTCTCAGAAGTGTTTCAGTTTGTCAGTCCCTTGGAGTTTGGCTTTTAAGTCAAGTTGTACAAACGCTGCTGAATTCTACAGAAGGGAGGGGAGTGCTTAAGATGAAGCTTAATGCATAGTTGTGTATTCCTTCTATGTTAGCTTTTCCAGTCCTGTGCTTGTGTGATTAATGTGCATTTATTTCTTCCTCAACCACTGAGAGATGATCTATCCATCTCATCAGGTACTGTTTTTGAATAGTTACTATTGAGTAAAATGCTAAAGTCTCTTCCATTTTTGGCAGTGGGTGAGGTACATAAAGTTATGTATGTCTGCCTGTTGTCATGGTAGGATGATGCACAACTGCATCTTGCAGCAACTGTTGACCTGCTTTCTCTGAGAACTTACATTGTGGTATTGGTTCAAAAAGTGAGCAGCAGAGGGTAACTATCATTTGCATTGGAATAGTGCTCCACCATCTATGACTAATGAAACCAAAGTGCAGTGATTTAGTTTTATTGAGCCTAATGTGAATATTTGAGTTGTCATCTTCCTGAGGGGTACAGTAATAGGTCTGAAAAAACAAGCTATGTTGATATTACATGGCAAAAGTGCAGCTGTGTTTAACACTTGGTGAGTAAATAAATCTCATATAATGCTGTGTCTGTATTTCTTCTAGAGATTAGCATAGCAACTTAGAATTTAAGAAAATCTGAGAAAACCAACTGTTATATGCAAATGTTGAGAATGTCTTTAAATTTAAAATGTAGATAACATTCTCAGCTGTTTGCTTCTCTGTAATCAGTTAAGCTTTCCTTTTAAATCACTTACAACTGTACCGTTTTTAATTGAGTAGTATGGATGCTTGCTTTTTTTCTTTCTCACCCCTTATAATGTGAAAATATACATGTGCCTCCTCTCCCTGAAGAAACACATTGATTTCTTCCTGCTGTAAAATTCTGAGGAGCTGTTCTGCGGATTTTTGGCGAAGGAATGCTTTTAATTTTTATAATCTTTCTGCAAGATTAAGGCCTGATAATGGATGACCAGATCTCTCTGGTTGGCCTGTAGCAAGTCTTTATTTAGCCAATTATCAGATGGACAGTTCCTATTGCGATAGCTGTTCCTGCAGATACTGCACCTGCAGATGCTGCACCTCAGGGCACATTTACTACTGGAAAATAACTTTGCAGATGTCATTGGGATCTGCTGTTTGTGAACTTTTGGGGAAATCATTTAAGCAGATTCTAGGGAGCCTAACAGTGGATTAATATCAAAATCCTTACCTCCAAAGATAGATGGCTTCTCTGCAAGACCATGAATTGTGTGGTATAATTTCGTGCTGATGTAAAATCATGACAATAATGCTGTTGTTGTGCAAATGTAGCATGTTTGACTGTGGGTGAGAAATTCATGCATGCAGCCTGCCCAGTTCCAAGTTCTAGCATGCAGAGTCCTTGGCAAGAAACTTTAGATTTGGGCAGTCTCAGCAAGGTGCCCATTCTAGTAACGAAGCATCCATTACTAATGTTCCAAGAGGAAGAAGTAATGAAATGGCATTTTCCTGCAAGGAATAAGTGGGACCTGCCTGTACTGGCAGAATAAAATCAGAACTCTTCTGAGGAAGGATTCAGATGGGTTTAATAGTCTGAACCAAGATTGGTGAGGTGTGTAGTCAGATATGAGAAATTACATAAATGCATGTTGCTGAGTAATTTAGGATTGTTCTTTCTATCTGTCTGTGTTACTCATGCACCTTTACAAGGATCATGTTCTAATGATGGCAAGGTCGATTCCTGTAGAAAGCAAATTCATGCTTCAGAAAAAACAAATAGCCAAATTATTTGCATTTTACAGAGATGGGTCTTGCAGTTAACCAGAACATGTGCAAGGAGCTGAAGACTTGTAATTCTTGTAACATACCACAAAATCCATAGTGCCGCATGCCTTACTCCCTCAAAAATAAAATCTATAGATAGTGATGGTTAATAATATTAGTGACATCAATACTTGGTTGATTAAATCAAGTGCTTTCTAATTACTTGATAATGGTGTCCTGTGAGAATAAAGCAGGGATAATGGCTCTAATATCATCCTGCTAAATGTTACAAAATGCAGGTACTTATGCCTACACCCCAAATCTCATTAAGCTGACTTCATGAGAAGTTCAGTCAGCAAAACTGGCTGATAATTGGAGCCACTCCTTCCAGGGAGTATCAGCTTTAAAGGAAGCAGAGCTGATTGAGTAATCTAAAACAGAGTAGGAAAGTTTTCTCAGTATGAAATAATTTATATTGTATCAGTCCAAGCAGTCCCTATTTATCCATCTGCATAATTTCACTAGCTCGTTGAAATTGCAAGTCCTGGTCAGCAGTTCATGTGCATCTCCAGCGAAGGTGTAATGGGAGCTTTCCAACTTCATCATATTTCTGTTTTTTAAACAAATTTAATATTCTCTAACTGAAATCATGTTCTTTTTCATGGTTAATTTGATGTTTTAATATGTTCAAAAATTACCTTATTTTAACTGATTAGGCAAGATGCACAAAGAACAAAAAACTACATTTTGGGCTGCTTCATTTAATACAGTCATTAGTTTGCAGTTTTATACAATCCTCTACAAATATATTAATCACTGCATGTCACTGAATAATAATTGTGTTCAGAACTAACTCAGAGGAGAAATGACTACTCCTTTTATTTTAAAACTTGGAACCTTGTATCCAGTGCTTAAACTATAGGTAACTAACTTCTTTTTCATGTGAAAGTCTATTGAACATGAAAGACTTAAAATTAAACTCCAAACTTTTCCAGCTTGAAGTAAAAAGAAAACAAACAATTCCCCTTGCCAAACAAATTTTGAGGTAGTTTGCCTTGAAAGTTATCAAATTCCTAAAGAGACAAATTTGGAAGAAAAGCTGCTTTTGCAGAACAACATGCTTTCCACAGAAAACATTCTCAAATATTTATAGTTACAGATACCACACTCAAATTTCCAAGCTAATTTAACTGTTAGATTGATGGATATTCATGATTTATACACGTGCATGCACACAGACAGACAGATACACAGACATATATATATAAAAGTAGTAAATAAATAAAACTTAGGCTACAAACACAAAGTTTATATCAAGGCACAATACATTTCCCCATTTAAAGGAGTCTCAAATTATAGTCTCCGGAAGAAAGATTAATTTTTCTGGGTTTTTTTAATGAGTAAAACAATACAAGGAGCTTTTCACAATTTATGGCTTTAAAAAAGCATGAGGTTTTGTTTTTTCATTAGTCTTGTCTTTACCTCCTAAAAACTTTTACCATTTAATTTTTTCCTCCTAAGGCATTTGATTCCTGTTCCTGTGATTTCAATTACTCCAATATTTTTCCTGTTCTCTTCTCTTTTCTTTTGCTGTAGTTTCTCTTGGACCTCATCTCATTATAGCTATATTTAAATCAGAAAGGTTTTTTTAATCATCATTCTGAACAACACTTCAAATAGTTGTTCAGAGGCAGCTTTGGAAATAATGCAGTTTTATTTGTATTTTCTACCTATAAAAGTTAAGAGAAAGCTGTCAATTACTGCCAGTCTATGTATGCCATTGCAAAGAAATCTGAGGGAGTCTTGCTCAAACTATTGTTTAGCCTTGATTGATAAGAGATTTGTTTGTATGTGTTTGGGTTTGGCATGCATGCTGTTAGAACTGTGTATATCAACAGTGGGGACCTAATACATACACGTATTTTGTTTTAGTCTGAAGGAAAAAGCCACACAAGTGCTGGGGATGCGATTTATGAAGTTGTCAGTCTACAAAGAGAATCTGCAAGAGAGGAAGAATTGGTCAGCCCAACAAGTGGAGGAGGGCCTATGTCATCCCAGGAGGATGAGGCAGAAGAAGGTAAGAATAAATGAGCACTTATAGTTCCCATAAATAGTACTATTATATTTCTGCTGTTAATTTACTAATATAATTCTTCCTGTTTGTGTTTATTAGAAATACAACTGTTTTGGACAAAAAGATCACACATAATTTTCTACTAGCAGCAATTTTTTAGTAATGGCATTTTTACCAACCCATTATTCAGAGTTCTCTCAGTAGCAGTGGTAGACAATGCATGTCCATTTTTCTGTATGCTTCAAAATGTGTTACTGCTGCATTTGTGCTCTGCTAAAAAAGATAGAATACTTTTTCTAGAGGGATTTTCTTCTGATCAGAAGCCATTTGCCTTGAATATGCTGCTAAAGACAGCATTAGAATGGGCTTTGAAAAGGCGAACTTTAAATGCGTGTTTGTAAAGAAAAACAAAAAAAAATCCTAGACTGACTCAAACAGGGAATTCCCCCACCCCAAAATGGTCTGGTTAGCACGTGATTAGTTTTCCCTCATTTGATAAGGCTTAGTTGTAAAACATCTCCTGGTTCAGTTGGGGATCATGTTGGGGACTGCTGCTGTTCACGGACCCAGCATATTTGCCTGCACCTTCCAAAGCTAACAGCACCTCAATGTCTTTTCCCTTTTTTTTTTTTTTTTTTTTTTTTTTTTGAAGGCCCTTGGCCTACTGTCAGCCTTTTGTACTCTGAGGGTTAGCTCATAATATTCAGAATAAGCTTTCTACATGCCATTTTTGATCTAGATACCTGACCTACCAGAACTCATGGTAGTTCTACAATGTTATTCTTAAGATTTCTGGCACTGTTCTGTCAGTACTATAAAAAGTGTCCCTTATTACAGTGGAAAAATTCCTTCTTGATTCTTACTTATAGGTAAGTAGAAGTAGTTGGATGTTAGTTTACACAATAGGAATCAGATCCCTGTGATTAACACCATCAGGATCAGACAGGTATTGTTACATGATTACTCTGTTGCAGTTAAAACCAAAATATCCTGCATAGTCCAGGTGACACCACGCTTAGAAAACCCACAGCAGAATGGGCTTTCCTGGAGCACCTCTTCTATGAGGACAGGCTGAGAGAGTTGGGGATGTTCAGCCTGGAGAAGAGAAGGCTGCGGAGAGACCTGATTGTGGCCTTTCAGTACCTAAAGGGGGCCTATAGGAAAGATGAGGAAGATCTTTTTAGTAGGGCCAGCTGTGACAGGACAAGGGGTAATGGCTTTAAACTAAAACAGGGTAGGTTTAGACTGGATATAAGGAAGAAATTCTTTACAATGCGGGTGGTAAAACACTGGAATGGGTTGCCCAGAGAGGCAGTGGAGGCCCCATCCCTGGAAACATTCTCGGCCAGGGTGGATGGGGCTCTGAGCAGCCTGATCTAGTTAGCGATGTCCCTGCCCGCTGCAGGGGGGGTTGGACTAAATGACCTCTAGGGGTCCCTTCTAACCCAAAACATTCTATGATTCTATGAATTGAAAACCTTCTACTGATTCCTGGGAGGGAGCGGGATGGGCATTGACTATCACTGTTATTCCCTCCTTTATATCAAGTATCACTTTTGTATAGTAAAAATGCTATTTTCTCTAAAGGAGCTTTTATATTTATTGGTAATTGGGATTGCTTTACCATTAATAGTGAGAATAATTTCAGATTTGACCTTTGGTTCAGAGTTCAGCACCTGTGGGTGTTCTTTTCCTTGCTGGATGTTTGAGTTCTATAGTCAGAATGTCTTCTGGAGCTTGTTTGATAGGATAGGGTTTAAGAAATTGCTTGAATACTTTTTTTTAATATTGCTTCTTACTGGGAAGAGTAAAGCACTGTTCCAGAATTTGATGAATTTAGCACAATTAGTAGTAACGTGGATATTGTCCTCTTGGTATGATTATGGAATGGCTTTATTTTATTAAAGTATTCCACTGAGGTGTGAACCCAAGTTTAACTTTGGTTTAGTTTCCTAATGCTAGTTTCCATATTTTAAATGTAGATTACTTCCTAAGAGAAGACATTAAAAATATCTTGATGTGACTCTGTTCTCATGGAAACTGCATTTAGCGTTATCTGCCTAGAAGTTATCTATCCTAGTGGATATGCAGGTTAAATGAGTCATTTGCAGTTGTTCTAAATAAATCTCTTCATTCTTTTTCTTTCTTTTTCTTTTCAGGGTACTAATTATGATGATGGAAAAAAAAAAAAACCCTTGAGTTTACAATGTCTTGTCTTAGCCTTGGAAGAAGGCTTGTTCTTTTCTTTACACTTAAGAATGGTAGCTACCTGGCCACATAGGGTTTTTCTGCTTGCAACCTGACTAGGGCAGGTGCGCATTATAAGGACTTCACTATTTCATAGGCCAGAGGCTGCTGTTACCATTATAGATATGGAGGATTACTATCTGTTCTCTCTCTTTTTTTTTTTTTTTGCTATATTCATATATATATCCTACATGCCCACAGAATGTTACTTAATTTACTTCAGAAGCACTATACATTGCAGTTTCCTTTGTGTAATGCTGTAAGATTGCATGCTTCATTTGCACCTTACCTGATTTCTGTGTACTGTGTGTGTATACACACAGCTCAGTGGGATGTCTTATGTCACGAATATATGAATAAAGATGTTCATAAGAAAGAAGGCATTTTTTTCAATATGCTTGTTCTTTTTGTTTTAGTGAAAGGCCAAACATGAATCCCACCCCCCCCAATAATTATTTAAAATAATTATTATACTAGTTTTATGCGTAGTCCCTTTCAAATGTGCAGCAACTGCATATAGAAAATTGAGCTCATATATTCCCTAAATGGCATTCTTAGCTTTTAATATTCTTTTCTCACTCTAGCTTTATTTTTCATCTGAACAGCTATATAAAAAAAAATAAGATCTTTGCAAAGATTGTGCAATAGCTACTTAGAGATCTTTCAGATCAATCTCACATTAAAAAAAATTATTAATTTTGTAATACATATTTCTGGAAACCCAGTCATCTTAAGATTCCTTGCTTTGGAGATGGTAATTTTAAAAATGTAATTAATATTAATGATTTCTTGTCAAAACCTAGAATGTAAAGTACACTCCTTGATAAGAAGTTTTCTATTAAATTCAGAACATAATTTTAAAATATTAAAACATATAATGAGGAAATTCTTACACTTTCTGGAAAGGTTTAAAATGAAGTGGATTTAAGTATCAATTTTTATCAATAAGCAGAAAAGTTCACTTTTAATTTTGAGTAAAACCTTGCAACAAGGTGCAGAGCACAATTGGTTGAACTAATCTTTCTTCTTTTTGGAGCAGTAAGTAAGAACATGTACAGAAGTGATGGTTTATATATTGCATTATTCAAAAAAGACAAAGCTGCACAGAGCATTTTTATTGTAGTGTCATTCCATGGCAGCATGAAGTGGCTGGCTGCATGTGTGAGCCTAAGGACTGGAGAAAATTGCTTTCCAGCAGAAGTATTTGCAAGGAGAATGTAGTCCTGGAAACAAATAACAAAGGAGAAGGGGAAGAATAGTTTGGCTTCTTTTAGCAGCAGCACTTACTTAGACTGTACATGAAATTATGACCTTCCTTTGGCTCTAATATTTTAAATTTTTTTAAAGTATAATATAACATTAAGGAGAATACTAGATAACTCCATTTGAGTTTCTTCTTGAATCAGAATAATGTTAGGAGGTTAAGGAGAAATTCTGTTTAAAAACAGAAAATAGTCTTTAAACTGATTGTAATGGAGTTGAATTTTTTTTTTGCTGAAGCTTTATGTGGTCCCAAGTGTTTGGTTACTAGCTCTTGTTCCAATCCATAAATTGTGTGCAGAGTAAACACAGGGTGTTTAGCAGACATCCTGAAACAATTCATGATAGGTGAGAGAGAACATGCCTACTGAGTTTCCCAAAAGAAGTTTGAGCATGAGTTGTGGAATTTCGCTAGAATGCTGTCAAATGACTTCCAGGCATGCAGCACTGTTTGGGTTTGTGTTTACTGCAACAATAAATTTCTTGATGGTTTATATACTATTTTTCTGACAGCTGAGAACTGAGCAGCGATGCAGTTGGCAGCACAGTGGATACTGATCTGTAAATGGAGGCCTTAAACCAAAAAGAATCCTACTGAAATGTGTTCGGCGTTTAGTTATTGGTCTTTAATAAGAAGAAATTTATATGTAATACGAAGCTGTAGAAGTAAGAAAGAGCAGCAAAAAAGAAGAAATAATAAACTTAAGAGGGTGAAACTATCTCTGTGTTCTCTCTAGCTGTCTTAGCTCTAAGAAAGAAAGAGGTATTATACAATAGAAAAATTAATGTAAGTGGTATGGAAATTCAGTGTGGAGATGGTGAACTCTGACAATGAAAACAGAAATAAAAGGATAGAGGACCCTGAAAGCTTGAAAGAAATATTGAGTGTGATGTATTGGACAGCACAAAAGGATGGTGCATACAGTAGATAGGGAGTGGGCAATACTAAATGATCAGAGATGATCAGCCAGACTAAATTAAGATACAGTGTCAAATGTTGTGGGTGGGTAGATGCTGTTTTCAAGATCCAAAAAAGCAAAGGAGTAGAGGAGGTGGTGTTTTAGGAGTCAATAGAGCTATTGAGAGTATTTTGTGATGAAATACGGGTTTATGATGAAGGATAGTGTGAACAAATGAGGATGACTGAGTGAGAAGAATGACATTAGTAATGTGGAAATAGTCAACTCTGCATTTTTATCCAAATTAAAAATAGCTTTACATAATTCATAGGAACTGTTTATTATACTAATCTAACACAGGGTAATGTTGGTGGGTCCCTGATACAATCAGTTAAGTCTGTATTGGAGTCTTTTTGCTATCTCCAAGCTCTTCTGAAGAGTGCAGATCTGTAGCTTCCAAATGAAAGGAAAATGTTCTTTATGAGCGTGATGTCATTTTATGGACTGTACAACTTATGTTATTAAATCATAGAATAAATGCACTCCATTGACTTCTGCAGCTATTATTGCGCTGTCAGAAAGAATACAATCCTTTCC